GTTATATTCGTACAATATCGCGATGTGTTACTAAATACAAAAATAGTTCCAATTAAACCAATGAAAATGTTCAGAGAAGCTGTTTAGGAAAGATTGATGATAGGAGAGAGAGTGAAATGTATAATTTTTCATTAATATATAAAGATTATTGATTGAATCTTTCAGTTCAGTAAGAATTATATAATTTAATTCCTACTTATTCGATTTCTATTGTCAATAAATCAGATTAAGATTAATATTATATATTTTACATATCTTGACTTGAAAATAAAGTTATAATTGAAAATTGGTACAAGTTTATACTTATTAGAAATATTTCTTGACTTTTTAGACTATTACAACATCGTTTATCACTGTATTGTAATAACAGTGATAAACTATTATTGTAATAAACGTTAAGATAAATAGATTGAATTAAGTAATATATTAAATTTTTAATGTGTATTAAAATGTACATAATATGTATATTAATAACTTCAGAAAAGTGAAACATTAACATTTGAATTACATAACAGTTACCTTTGTTGATTTTCTTGATTTCCAAGAGCTCTATTTAAATTATCATGATGGGCTTGTCTATTTATATCATCATGATGAAAGCTTGTATTTGCATTTTCAGTGACTATAGATTGTTGTGTCATTCTGTTCACATCATTATCTTCAGGTTCTTGTGGAGATCTTAAAGATTTATTCTTTACACAAAAGTGGCGTATTAAAGCATCTGTCCCGTAAAATATATCCAGTTTAACATTGCAACATTTGCACCGTGCAATAAATTTTTCCTCGTCGACTTCAAAATATTGCATTAGGGACTTATTTGCAATTTCTTTTTGTACAGCAGCTCTTATTTCTTGACTATGCTGTTTTTGCAGATGAAAGTATATATTATTCATATATCCTGCATGATAAATATTCTTACAAAATTTACATTTTCCTTTGTATAAATCTACTTTGTCAACATATTGCCATATCAAATTATTGTCATTTTCCCATTTTAAGCGATCATTTTCAGTCCATATTTCATGCTTATGATATAAATGTGCCTTTCTGTTCGCAGATGCAAGTTTATATTACTCATATATCCTCCATGATAAATATGCTTACAAAATTTACATTTTCCTTTGTATAAGTCTACTTTGTCAACATATTGCCATATCAAGTTATTGTCGTTTTCCCATTTTAAGCGATCATTTTCAGTCGATATTTCATGCTTACGATATAAATGTGCCTTTATTGATGTTATCAATATACTTGAACGTTTATTAAACTTATGCTTATTATAATAAATTTTATTACAATTATTGCACTGTACAGTAAAATTGTTTAATTTGAAAACATATTTCCATATCCAATTGTTTGATTCTTCTTGAGCTGCTGTTATATTCGTACAATATCGCGATGTGTTACTAAATACAAAAATAGTTCCAATTAAACCAATGAAAATGTTCAGAGAAGCTGTTTAGGAAAGATTGATGATAGGAGAGAGAGTGAAATGTATAATTTTTCATTAATACATAAAGATTATTGATTGAATCTTTCAGTTCAGTAAGAATTATATAATTTAATTCCTACTCATTCGATTCCTGTTATCAATCAATCAGATTAAGATTAACATTATATATTTTACATATCTTGACTTGAAAATAAAGTTATAATTGAAAATTGATACAAGTTTATACTTATTAGAAATATTTCATGACTTTTTAGACTATTACAACATCGTTTATCACTGTTATTGTAATAACAGTGATTAATATTATTATAATAAACGTTAAGATAAATAGATTGAATTAAGTAATATATTAAATTTTTAATATGTATTAAAATGTACATAATATGTATATTAATAACTTCAGAAAAGTGAAACATTAACATTTGAATTACATAACAGTTACCTTTGTTGATTTTCTTGATTTCCAAGAGCTTTATTTAAATTATCATGATGGGCTTGTCTATTTATATCATCATGATGGAAGCTTGTATTTGCATTTTCAGTGACTATAGATTGTTGTGTCATTCTGTTCACATCATTATCTTCAGGTTCTTGTGGAGATCTTAAAGATTTATTCTTTACACAAAAGTGGCGTATTAAAGCATCTGTCCCGTAAAATATGTCCAGTTTAACATTGCAACATTTGCACCGTGCAATAAATTTTTCATCATCGACTTCAAAATATTGCGTTAGCGACTTATTTGCAATTTCTTTTTGTACAGCAGCTCTTATTTCTTGACTATGCTGTTTTTGCAGATGAAAGTATATATTATTCATATATCCTGCATGATAAATATTCTTACAAAATTTACATTTTCCTTTGTATAAGTCTACTTTGTCAACATATTGCCATATCAAGTTATTGTCGTTTTCCCATTTTAAGCGATCATTTTCAGTCGATATTTCATGCTTACGATATAAATGTGCCTTTATTGATGTTATCAATATACTTGAACGTTTATTTCTTGTACATTTATTATAATAAATTTTATTACAATTATTGCACCGTACAGTAAAATTATTTAATTTAGAAACATTTTCCCACATCCAATCGTCTGATCCTTCTCGAGCTGTCGTTATATTCGTACAATATCGCGATGTGTTACTAAATACAAAAATACTGCCAATTAAACTAATGAAAATGTTCAGAGGAGCTGTTTAGGAAAGATTGATGATAGGAGAGAGAGTGAAATGTATAATTTTTCATTAATATATAAAGATTATTGATTGAATCTTTCAGTTCAGTAAGAATTATATAATTTAATTCCTACTTATTCGATTTCTATTGTCAATAAATCAGATTAAGATTAATATTATATATTTTACATATCTTGACTTGAAAATAAAGTTATAATTAAAAATTGATACAAGTTTATACTTATTAGAAATATTTCTTGACTTTTTAGACTATTACAACATCGTTTATCACTGTTATTGTAATAAACTATTATTGTAATAAACGTTAAGATAAATAGATTGAATTAAGTAATATATTAAATTTTTAATGTGTATTAAAATGTACATAATATGTATATTAATAACTTCAGAAAAGTGAAACATTAACATTTGAGTTACATAACAGTTACCTTTGTTGATTTTCTTGATTTCCAAGAACTTTATTTAAATTATCATGATGGGCTTGTCTATTTATATCATCATGATGGAAGCTTGTATTTGCATTTTCAGTGACTATAGATTGTTGTGTCATTCTGTTCACATCATTATCTTCAGGTTCTTGTGGAGATCTTAAAGATTTAGTCTTTACACAAAAGTGGTGTATTAAAACATTTGTCCCGTAAAATATGTCCAGTCTAACATTACAACATTTGCACCATGCAATAAATTTTTCCTCATCGACTTTAAAATATTGCGTTAGGGACTTATTTGCAATTTCTTTTTGTACAATAGCTCTTATTTCTTGACTATGCTCTTTTCGCAGATGCGAGTTTACTTTACACATATATGCTCCATGACAAATATGTTTACAAAATTTACATTTTCCTTTATATAAATCTACTTTGTCAACATATTGCCATATCAAGTTATTGTCGTTTTCCCATTTTAAGCGATCTTCTTCATCATATTTTCTATGCTGGTAATATAAATGTGCTTTTATCGATTCTATCACTCTATCTATAGTGTTATCAACAATTTTATATCTTCGATCACAATTATTGCATTGTACATAAGAATTGTTTAATTTAAAAACATGTTTCCACATCCAATTGTCCGATCTTTTTTGAAGTGCCATTGTATCCACACAGAGTCGCGATATGTTACTAAACACGAAATAGCGATTGTGCTAACGATCATATTCGGAGAAACTGTTTAGGAAAGGTCAATGAAAAGAGAGAGTAAAGAGAGAGAACAAAACAGCAATTATTCACTAAGATATAAACATTAATGTATTGATTGAATGTTTCAGTTAAAAGTCATGAATTCGTTTCTGCTTATTCGATTTGTGTTGTTAAACGTTTAAATTAAAATTAGTATTATTTGTTTTATCAATCTTGATTAAAAAATAAAATTTAACCATGAAAATTAGTACAGCTTACAATTTTAAAATATATTTCTTGACTTTTTTCATATGATTATTACAACATCGATTATCACCGTTATTATAATAAACATATAAGTGAAAAAATTAAATTTAGTAATAAATTAAAGATAAAACTAAAAAAGGGGAGCAATTGTCGATGATCTTGACATTGACATATGTTGTTAAGATCATGATTCTGAGTAATCTCCAATAGATTTTTATTGGTGACTTGTGCTTCGTTAAAAAGTCATTAACAATCAAAGTCAATAATTATTTTTTCACTTTCTTTCATCAACTTTGCGTTGATGACTTTAAACAGAGAGGGGCTGAAGTACACGACTTTCCACACAAAAGTTATAGGCTTTTATATATATATGTATGTAGTGGACTTCATTTTATGTAGAGAATCGTCCTGTATATTCCATCTTTCCCCCAATACTTAGAGTCATCGACTTTCAAATAATAGATATATTCAAATAATAGATATAATCAAATAATAGATACATTGTTCGAAAATGATGAGACTCAATGATGACTCAAGAAAAGTAAAATTGCGGCTTAAACGTTATTTCAATGGCATTGCATTTATTTCTAAACTGTATTGTAAACATTCACAATTCCATTTCATAAAATTTCTATAAGTTCATGATAAGAACAATAATACATTAAAAAACAAATAAAATCATAAAAGTATAAAGCATTTTATTACATTGCTACTTTT